GGTATATATATATAAATATATTGAGAATTAAATGAATTATACAAAGCTGAAATCAATAATAAATGATATCACGGCTTTCTGTTTCTTACGAAATCATGGCATAGGTTAAAACATTGTCTCACTAGTTAAAATTGCACACAAAGAACAAAATGAGGTTATAACATTGTGCTGTACTGATGGAACAGATAAGGCAAAGCAATAAATCTCCAAGGATTTTTACAATGCCTCAAAACTGGCACACAACTTACAACAGTATGCATAGCGGTACAAGTGAGAGCCTCGTTGCTTTCAATAATATACTATTACTGTCTGGCCTGTCGTCAGCCAGAGCTCGTGGGTTCGATTCCCACCCAGGACAAATAGTTATGTGATGAGCACGATCGTTTGTTCTGTGTCCGGGTGTAATTTATCAACAATATGTATGTATTTAGAAATACCTAAGTGTGTTTATCAGCAGCCCGAATACCATGGCACAGGCACCGCTCCTCGGTACCGGATCAGACGCCGTGTGAGACGTGTCAAAATATTTTTATTACACACAATACATTTCAGAGATATTATATCAGCCACCAAGAAATTTTAGCATATTTTTTTAAATTTTGTATTTTAAAAAAGACAACTCCCGCACTAGGAATAAATACTGTGTCGCGGGGGACTTTACAAACATACACGAAACGGACACAAAGGACACCCAGACTCAGAACAACAATTTGTGGATCACACAAAGTGTTATCCCATGTGGGGATCGAACCCACAACACTCAGCGTAGTAGTAAGCCACTACGCGACCTGTGCAGTCCAAACATATTATTTTTTTGATTTTTAAAGCGTAATATATATTCTCTCGCTATTTAAATGATAACAGTAGAACGATGTAAATTAATGCGTTTAGCATTGAAGATTTTTTTTTTTTTTTGTGTTAAAAAAAGACAACTCCCGCATTAGGAATAAATCCTGTGTCGCGGGGGACTTTACAAACATACATGAAACGGACACAAAGAACACCCAGACTCAGAACAACAATTTGTGGATTACACAAAGTGTCGTCCCATGTGGGGTTTGAACCCACAACACTCGGCGTAGTAGGAAGCGGCGTGGTGACCGCTTAAACCACTACGCCATCCGTGCCAGTCAAGATGTACGTTAATCAACGTCGCAGAAAGATAAAGAACTGTTTAAGCAAATATGTCACGTTTCGTATCCACACCAAGATGATTCCGAGTCAGTATCAGATTAAGTTTTCTTGGAATTAAATGGAATCTTGAAGGCTATCCTGTAGGTGGTGACTACAGAATTTAGAATACTTAACAAAGTGTGATATGGACGAGTCACGTAGAAGTTATGAGTATTTCGTACTTTTTTATATGGTAAAAGGGGGCAAACGACTACCGCCGCCCATGGACACCTGTAACTCAAAAGGCACAAGTGAATTGCCGCCATTGGGGATTTGGGCTCCGGTAACCTCACTCATTAAGTGAAAAGCAACGAAAGAATTGCTTAACACCGGTTTTCTGTGACGCCGTGGTATCACTCCGTTCGAGCCGGCCCATTTTTGTCGAAGCATGGCTCTCCCACGGTAAGTACTTGCGTATTTAAGGACTTACATTTGCCGCGAATGTAGCTACTTGAATAAAAATAACTATGGCGATAGTAATGTGCTTAAAATATTTTAAAACTGCAGTATTACCTTTGGTACTTTGGAGGTACTTTTGACCTCAGTTTTATCAGCGAGTATTGTAGTTGTAGTATAGGTAGTAGTGTAGTGTTTGCGTATGTATTGTGATTATAGAATATTTGGCATTCGATTAATTCAAAATAGATTTCTTTTTGTTTATCTATAACTAAAATATTTATGTATATTGATGACCTATTGGTCTAGTGGTAAATAATTGTGTGATGTGCACGGTAATTTATGGGTGTCTGGGTGTAATTTATTAATGATATGTATGTATTTAGAAATATATAAGTATATTTATCAGCAGTCTGGTTACCATAGTACAGGCTCTGCCTAGTTTGGGATCAGACGGTCGTGTGTAAGATGTGTCAAGATATTTTAAAAAATAAAATTAAAAGAACTTTAAATTTACAAATCTAAAACATAATGTGCTCGTAGCCAAAATAAATAATAACGTAGTACAATAATTAAATACGACATTTGTATCTTTTACAGTTATACTAGCAAAGCATGTTGATTCTTTTTTTATTCACCACACAACAACTAAAATGGATACGGTGGCGTCATTTGTCACTTTTTTCTAATCTGAGGCAAAGGCGTCACCGCATAGGGTAGTAACTCCTGTCATGTTTATTGTTATTTCATAGATAACGGCAATTAATCGTTTGTTTGCTGTGTCTCGAATTTAAATCGATTTAATTAACTTTTTAACGATTATCGTGGAAGATTACGTTGCGTCAAGCACTTTGATTTAATGTCAAATAAAATTTTATGATTTAAAATCTTTTTCAAGGTGTTGAGGAATGGATACAATCTATATTTATTGAATGGATGTACGCGTCTATATTTAAATCGTACAAAACCAGATTTTATTAAAACGAAAGGAAAAGGATTAAAACGAATTCCTTTATGACAAACCAGCAAACGGGTCATCTGATAATAAGGCAACTCAGGACAAGTGTGTGGGCTTCAAGTGCCACACTTCCTCAGAATTAGGGGGTGGACTTTCGGTAACTCCTCTCACTAGGTGAAATGCAATGAAAGAACTAGCCAACAGCGGTTTTCTGAGATTCCTTGGTATCATTCCGGTGGAGCAGGCCTGGGGGTGTTTAACCGATCTTACGTTAAAAAAAGTTTAAAATCTAAGCATGGACTTATTGGCCTCCATGTCAGATAACACCTATACAGTAATAGTGGACAATACGATTATACGGATATTGTAGGGCCCTTGAAAGTTGGTCTTATATCTAGTAAAAAGTAATGGGAATCAGATCCCCCCGTCCCGAAAGCCCTCGGAATTACTTTCAACGATTCTTTTTGCATTTGGTGCTCTTTTGTTAGAAATAAAGAAGAATGCTTTTTATTTTTTAGAACCAGTAATATATTTTATTTATTAAATAAACAACATTGCATGCTTTGACCTTGCAAAGGAAAAGAAAAAAGGATGCAAAGTATAGCTAGCCAAAAACTTATTTTTGTACAAAGTGATTTTATTGAGTACATCCTTTGTTAGAGATATCTGAATAAAATAAAAAAGGAATCCCCAATTAATAGAAAGTTCAATTAAAACAAGTGACTTTATTTATTAATTACTAACTGACCTGGCAAACGATGAATTGCAAAAAAAAAAAAATTAGGGATGGGTCACTCTTACCATTTAGGGGTATGAAAAATAGATGTTGGCCGATTCTCAGACCTACCCGATGTGCACACAAAATTTCATGAGAATCGGTCAAGCCGTTTCGGAGGAGTACGGGAACGAACATTGTGACACGAGAATTATATATATAAGATAATATTAGCTTTTTATGTAAAAAATAAGTATTAAGGTAACTTCCCTGATGACAGAATGTGAAGTTAAGATGTGAAAGGGTAATAAAGGAAAAAACTTACCTTCTCGTTTAAAATATTAGTTACAATTTGCTACGTGACCGAAATTCTTACTACGTATACATATTTATAAATGGTTATAGCAGGAAACCCGAATATAAGGCTTGAAGGACTTACAGGAACAAAAAAAAATGATAACCATTTAGTGCAAAGCTTAACTGATTTACAATTTTCTAAGCATTATACTGAGATACTAACAAATAAAGTCTTGTTCGCCATACCAGGCGTAAAGGATTGTCCTGTCAGAATTTAGCGGTAGTCTCAATTGTATCCCAAATATAGCGAGTTAATAAAACAGCAATAAAATTCACTACTATTCTCAAAATAGAAATGTTCCTTGTTTTACTTTTTTGTATGAAACAATAAAAGTTAAATAATTCATAAGGCCCGGAGTCTGCGGTTGCGTAGTGCGCATGCGCATCACGTGCGCGAGCGCTCCCTGATGCGATCACGAAGATAATTCCTCTATGGGCAAAAATAATTCTATTCCCACGTTCGTAAAATCACGATGTTTTACATGAAATCTATAGGAATTCATAGCTTTTTTTTTACAGCTTTTTTTTTTTTTTTAGCTTTACTTTTACAGGGTTTTTATGAAACCGACGCGATAGGTCGCTTCGCCGAGTAGGTAGGTACTTATGTTATGAAGTATAAAGTACTCCTCTCAGACCTAATCGCGTTTTCTTATTTTTCACATATTTGTGATTTTTCGCGGGGAGCCTCCATAATCTCTTTCTATAATAATTCTATTAATAACGCCTTAATACATCTTCTATCTCATAATAAGTCTCGTGAAAAAGAAAAAAAAATTAAGAAACTTTTTAAAAACTAATTTAAGAACATTACACACTTCATTTGAACTACCAAGATTAATGATTTACTTAACGTTTGCTACGAACTTTAACAAATGACCCAAGTTACTGGCCATCTTATCGCAAGACAAAATGGTCTTCCATTACCGAAAATACCGCAGCTAATATGCAACAATGATTGAAGTTCGACATAACTGCTTTTTAATTCTTCCACTTATCAAAATTTACAACGACAATTTTCATTGTCGGCAACAAAAGACAGCGAAAAAAATATCGTATTTTACTCGAAAACGAATCTTAATTGGTGTGACAAAAAGATAATAAAGTGTATTTTTTTTTAATGATGCAACACGGAATTGATAAATATTTTTCTAAAGGGAAACACTAATATTATGTAGAAATAGATTACTGATGGAAATAGCACAGAGGCTACTTATCCCGGCAAAATTCATGTGTATGTCAATTTTGACATTAACGCTAGTGAAGCCACAGGTACAAGCTTTTTCTTTAAAAAAGACTACTTATTTTACTGTATCACTTTTGTTATACCAATATTATAAAAAACAAAAATGTACAGACTATAACACGTACGGAATTAAAAAAAATAACCAAGAAGTTTCTTACCTTTGAAATCGCTCCCGAGAAACCTGCCTGGCACATGCCAGTCTTACGTTGTCCATGGCTCGCTGCGGAATTAAAAACATATCAATTAACAATCAATAATAGAAATGAATAAAACAATGATGTGGCAACTAAACGTTTTTGCACTACAGTATGATATGTACAGAGTGCATTAGAAACATTCATTGCTTTTATACTATTTAATTTTTAAATTTGACATTAGCGGATGGATTGATTTGGAAATATTCAAACTTGCTAAGTTTTGTCATAAAATTGAGTCAATTTTGGGCTTAAGATCGATACAATGTTAAACGTCTAAGGTCAAATTTAAAAAAAAAAATTGACAGTGTTTTTCTATTAATCTAACTACAATAACACATAAACTTCTTGAGAGATAGTAAAAATAATAATCCAATTACCTGATGAATAGAATATTATTTTAAAATCCCTTTACATATTTTGAAGTGAAGATGAATGTAAACAAGTTTTTCGTCACATATATTTAGTATTTAAATTAAGTTGATTTTCTTTTAAAAAGTACTCGAACACTATTCAAATCTGATTAACTATTACACAAATTTTATGAAATTACGTGTTGAACGAAAAATGAAATATTTGAATCGTCAATATTTCCCGCTTTCTAATTATTTTTTAACTTTAATCCCTAAATTATTTGACAACAGCTGAATGTAACGTCAATATTGTTTTTTTTGCACATTCTATAATTTTTTAAACAGTTCGTTCTGTATAGATTTTGTATACAGAACGTATAGTTTTAACTGACTTTATTAATATAGAGTAAACCATTTGAAAAAAAAAAACAATCTAATCAAAAAAAGCAATATGATTATCTATGAGAAATATGGAGTCCAATGCATGCCTTTAATTTAGTCTATACTTTATAGTTACTACAAATATTTAATACATCAATAATCTGTTTATTTTTAAGAGAGAGAGAGAGAGAGATAAACAAATAAATAAACATGAACAAATGGCGGCCGTATCGCTAAAAAGCGATTTCTTAGACTGTAGACATATTCATGGGTAGGTAGTCTTTGTGTAAAAAGTTGAGAGAGAGAATGTGGAATAATTGCGAAGTTATTTTTTTTTACCTAATTAATTAAGAAGATGTTATTTTGATTGACAACATATATTATTACGACACATACACGAAGAGATGGACATGCACCAATGTTAAGTATATATTCTGCACTTTCATAGATAGAATTGGTTGAATAATTATATTAAATATATTAATAAATATAGATGAAAGGAACATACATAATTCAGTTGTTAAAAGTAACGTACAGTAAATCATTTTTGAATATGGAACATGAACACCTGCTATTTTTTAAATCAGTGTTACCAACGTTAATTTTTCCATATTTCTTTTTATGAAAAGGTATAAGTAACTCTTCTTTTTTTAATTTATGAATGGATAGAAATGTCGAATGAATGATATGGAGCAAGATTCGTTCATTAATAATGACGTGTATAATAATGATAATGATTATCTACTTTCTGACAAGTGCAGTTCACGATTTACACATCAAACTTTACCTCAGCAGATACTCACCTTCGTCCACTGAACGGTGCCCTAAACAAAGCATACATAGTTATAATCATCAATATATAACAAATCAATTACAAAAATAAATACATAATTATTCCTTTAAGGGCGTCGTATAAAGTATGAATAAAATAATATGCAATTTAAGCTTCCAATACTGCATTCAAAAGCCATTTATCATAGAAATTAATTAAGAGTAGTATTGCGTTACTAAATAAATACTGATCTGATTTTCTATGGGAGACATCATAAGCCATGATGAACTACCTACATGCGAGGGAGTCTGTGCGTACTAGGAATGGAATAAAATTACAATCCCCTGTGATAAGTCAAATAATTTATAAATCATATAATCACACCTGTGACTAATATACAAAAAAAACTACTGTGACTAATTATTATTACGCTAGCGCCAGACTAACGAAAGGTCTAATTAAAAAAAATTGATTGATTTTGATGGTATTTATCTGTGTCTATGACCAAATACCAATCACAGGTGAAATCGCCGTGCTTAATACCAATTATTTTATCGTATGATTATGTAGATGAGAGATTATGTTTTTATTGCAGAAAAACCTTATCAAAATTTGGGCGGTCCGGGAATCAATCCCGAGGGCTCATGGACTGCAGTCGTTTTCCAAATTCCACGCGAATTACATTCGAATTAAAACATTGGGAGTATAATTTTATATAATGATTTATTATTTAAAGACTTTATAATCATTTGCGCAAAGGCAGACAAATGCCCGAGGCATTCTCTGTCAGTCATCCGGGGTTATCCGTGATATAGAAATGCTATGAGATAGGCATAAAGACATTTGAAGTTATGTACAATAATCTGATTTTACAATATTATATTAACAATGAATACATTAAATTATTTGTAAAGATTTTTAAATATGACCATGATAAATCGTAGGTAACAAACTGTTTTCTTTATTCCTTAATTTTCCAACCTTTGTGGTTTGACGTGGTACTTTTAGTCAAATTTTTACCAACCAAACCAAAAGGGGCAAATAAATTTCTATAATTATTAGGAAAGAGCAAATAAGAAAATATCTTAGGTAGCATACTTAGGTAATATAAATACAACTGATTTGAGAACATTCTATTTTTTTTTATGTCGGTTAAACATATTAAAACAATAATTTAGAACAGTCAAGATTAATTTATCTAATCTATGGTACAGATAAGAGTAAAACTGTAATGTTAAAGTGCATCGTGGGCGATCGCAAATAAAAAACTTAGTGTCACATTTCATCACATTTCGAAACAAAATCAAATAAGTACAACGATATTTTTGAAACGTGAAACTTTTTATCGTTTTACACAAAAGTGCTATCGTAAATCACGTTTAGTGCCAGAGGCTCGTCAACCTCGTCACGCTAATTCCCGCTAGCCGCCATTACCGCCGGAAGTGAGTCGGTTTTCGCGCGCTTTCATGACCGCCATTGTGTGCCGCCATGATGGCTTTATTGGACCCCGTTACACGTTACTATGTTGCAGTATTCTGACGGTTAAGCTTATGAAATGTAAAGTTTTTTGTTGGTATAACAAATTTAAAAAGCCACCAACTTCAAATGAATTAGTTTGAATAACAAAGTAGAAAAGCGAATAGAACTATAACAGATATTTAACCACCAATGGCAATTGTCCAACTGTCCAGGTGCTTCGGCGAAACTTCTTACTAGAAGAATCATATCACTGGTTACGACGCTTAATCGTGAAGTGTTTAGTTTGTAAAACAAGGTAGAAAAGCGACCTTATCTGTTACGAATAATTAACCACCGATGACAAGTCAATCTATTTAAGGATTCTTCTTTGATTCTTCTTGCTAGAAGAAGCATAAGACTAGTAGAGTTGTACTTAATTATTTAATTAATTAAATGAAGTGTAAACGAATACAAAATCAAATAATGTTGGTGTATATTTTACGTCTGAATTATAATTATTATTTTACTTATACATAAAATTCTCGTGTCACAATGTTAGTTACCATACTCCTCCGAAACGGCTGGACCCATTTTTATGAACTTTTGTGTGCACATCGGGTAAGTCTGAGAATCGGACAACATCTACTTTTCATACCCCTAAATGATAAGGGTGACCCACACCTGTTTTTTTTTTCAATATTTCCTAGAAACAATGTAACTGGCAAAACAACGTTTGCCGGGTCAGCTAGTATTTACATAAAAATATGTTTAATCATGAATACAATTATAACTTTTAAAGTTTAATTGAGATCGTGCGTCCTCATGCAGACATGCCGTTTAATATCAGAACCAATTTTACTGCAGATGATACTTACAAATTCGACAAGGTGAGAATTCTCTAACTTCGTTGAGGTCTGGAGAGTTGGCCACGAAGCATGTGCCCACTGGATCTCTCTGGTTCAGCTTGGCTGACACGAAGGATACGTAGCGAGGGGCGCATGCCTATGGACAAAAAAGTGGGTAAATTCAAGTTTCTTTTAAACTCTTCACATGAACAATTTTTTTAAATATATATTTTTTTTTTTTTTTTTTATTTAAAAGACAACTCCCGCATTAGGAATAAATCCTGTGTCGCGGGGGACTTTACAAACATACATGAAACGGACACAAAGAACACCCAGATTCAGAACAACAATTTGTGGATCACACAAAGTGTCGTCCCATGTGGGGTTTGAACCCACAACACTCGGCGTAGTAGGAAGCGGCGTGGCGACCGCTTAAACCACTACGCCATCCGTGCAGTCAATATGTAAGTGTATATACTCATTTTAATTCTCTTTAATTTTATAAATACAGTATAAAAGAGGATTTTGCATCTAGTATATATATTATATTTGTATGTTATCTAGTATAATAGAAAGAAGTTTAAACATGAATAAGGTTACTTAAATCATAATGAAATTGAAAACATTAAGAATACACAAAAACATTCTAAATTTTAAATACAAATGACTGTATTTATATCATCAAAGTTCAGTTTTTTACACAGAAAACCAAAGTCTAATCTTAATTTCAATCGCTAACGATACAAATATTCGTGTATCATTGACCTTACGCATTCTCAGAAGAACTCTGTTGAGATAAACAAAAATATGAGTTCCCAAAATAAGTTTTCGTAAACTGTATGGGTACGAGTTATGAACTTGAAAACCGCTCGGTAGTTAATTTCAACTATAATACTGTTAAAACATGCGTCAACGCTGTTGTAATCCTGTTACCATAGGGTTGGTACAGTCGGCAAACTAACAATATTATAGAAAATTAATTTGTCGATAGTTGTCTGTATATACAGGGTTACTGGGTAAGTCGACATAAATCCTTAAAAGGGTTGTAGTTGCCATAATTTCTGATAGATTTCGCTATGAAATACCATGTCATTTATTCATACTTAACAAAACAATGTTGTGATATAAAACCATTTATTTTTGGGATATGGTATTTCATATCAGAAATGATGGCAACTACAACCCCTTAAAGTAGTTAGATCGACTTACCCAGTAACCCTGTATACTCTGTTTTTAGACAATACACAAATAGTCATAATATCGTTTACGAAATAGATAGTAACAAATTATTTCTTCATTTATATTGTGGCAAGGCGCAAACGAAACGCTAATAACCATTTCTCTCAAATCCCGAAACGATATATGCCCAATGAGAATATTTTTCTCCGTATCAAAGATATTTAAATAAAGTAAAAGCAATTATAGCGTAGAGAACCATCAAATTGACAGTTGTTTTTGCCTTTGCCTTTCTTATGTAATTTAGTTAATTTTGATAACCCTATCGGTTTTGGAAAGTTGAGAAAAAACAGTTGTATGCGCGTGCGCCGGTGTTAATAAAAACAAACTAACATTATAGAAACACCCTGCCATCTGGCGTAAATTGCCGTGCGATGCTATTTATTAATTTAAGGCGTGCATTTTATAGAGCGACGAGTGAAGCTAATATTCTTTATTCACATTTAATAAAAACATTGTGGTGACATAAAACTATAAGTAAGTATAATGTGTTTTATCTAGTTTTTATACACATTTATTGGTAACCAGTTTTCGCGCGCGGCTCCTCTCGTGTATAAGTTATTTTGTCTAAAAATAAAGTACTTAAAATAAAGTACTTTTTAGATAAAATGTACTTAATAACCTTTGACTAAAATCCTGGACTAAATGCCCAGCATTTCAAATACAATATATATAAAACTTAGGTTGTTTAGGATTTAGAATTATTTGTTTAAACAAGAGTAAAAACCCATAACTTTATTTATTTTTTACTCATTTTCAACATAGTTTACATGAGACAAGCTGCAAACGTTTAAGTCGCGTCACGTACATAAAAAAAAACTTTTAATAAATATTTTATCTATACAAATAAATAAAATTGAAGTGTCTGTTTGTAATATTAAAATAACCGCTTTTTACTAAATGCATATGTATGTTTACACGCTACATATGCCAAAATATCATTTTTTTCAATTTTTGTCTGTCTGTCTGTCTGTTTGTTCCAGGTAATCTCTGGAACAGCTGGACCGACTTCGACGGGACTTTCACTGGCAGATAGCTGATGACATAAGGAGTAACTTAGGCTACTTTTTTTAGACTAGCTTCGCCCCGCGGCATTGCCCGCGATTATAACAACAAACGCGGGTAACACCGCGGGTCTCAGCAAGTCGTTAATAAAAACCGCTTGCAATGCCGTCTTCTGATCTTAAAATCATACAAATACTATTAATTAGGTGTATATATACCTATACATTAAAACTACACACACTAAGGACAAAAGTCCTTTAAAGATTCTCTGAACCGGAAATTGAAACGAATGACGTAATATTTCTTTATAAATACATCACAATACAATGCACAAACGTCACATCCTAGAGTCATCAAAATTGGCGTCGAATGCATTTCATTGATAATTAATATTATTTAACGGGAATTAACGCGATCTCTTATTTAGGGTATTACATACCTCTGGTTTGCCTGACGTTTCGACCAGGTTGCACCGGCCGTGGTCACAGGCCTGTGACCACGGCCGGTGCAACCTGGTCTAGTTTCAACCTGGTCAAAGTTTAAAAGTTTGCATTTCATTGACTTTAAAGTAAGTTGTTTTCGGGTCAGCTCTGGCCACTACAACCGTTTTATGGCTCGTCGATGGTCGTAAATTGTCTACAAACATTCTGTATTTAATGACCCCTCGTTGCGTAAACCAATGCAATGTATACAAATACATTATCTGTCTTTGTTTATAAATACGGGTGACGGATTAAGAATACAGAGTCTCACCACCCCTTTTCATCCCGTGGGTGTCGTAAGAGCCGACTAAGGGAAAAAACTACGCAGAACAACAGCACTGCAGAGAGAAGGAAAACTTGACACAAAACCCTATACCAACCCGTCTGGCCAGCGTGGTATAGTAGGCTAAAACCTCCTTTCTAAGGAGAGGCTTATGTCCAGCAGTGGACTGTTAAAGGCTGTTGATGATGATGTTTATAAATAGAAGTGCTGTGCTGTAAGTGAGAGCAATTGCTACTGGTACTGCTAGAAAGTATTTGCAAGAAAATTAATGGGCAAATGCTGTTGTCATCATTGTCATACAATACGTTGATAGAAGATGTGGTGACAAGAATTGAGAAAAGAATGCTACTAAACTTTGGGTATGTTGAAAAGAGAAGAAGAAGAAAAGAGAAGAATGACTTAAAGATTTTTGTTTTATAATGGGACTAATCTCTCCCACACGCCTACCACTGTAACTCCTGTACACCAGGATCAACAGCAGTGACCGATGAATACACCGAGTTATGACACTCGGGAAGTCCCAGGAAAAAAAATTAAACTGTCTTAGAATCCCGCAACGAAATTAATCAGAAGAAAATTGGAGGAGTTGGACTAAAAGAAAGGGCTTTAAGGATTCATATTTATTTATACAGTTAGGTAAGAAGTTAAAGTTAATGTCAATTGTCATCATAATTCTGTCAATTTGTCCCCAAAACTTGTTACAATGTTTATTTACAAATAGATTTACATTGATTGTAGCAGCAGCATAATTATATAAATCGCTGTATTTTAGCAGATATATAATTATTCACATTCAATCGAAGAGAAAACGAAACTACCCTTATCTACTGAGAACTAAAAATTGCTCTAATTGGATAATAGGCGAATATTTCTAAGCATGGTATAAAAATCAAGGTGTACAGCTAAAATTCTAAGTTTTTCCAGATTTTTAGGTATCTTTTTTATGTGACCCAGAAACATTGCTCTGGAGTGTGTTTATGACATAGAAATACAATTATTTGTTAGTCATACTAATGAGTCGACTAAATACCGTTGCTGTTTGAGTAAGAAGTAGGTTACTTAAATATCTTGGATATCATTTTCTAAAGATTTTCCTTCTAATATACAGTCGGTGTCGGTGATACAGCAATCGAAGAAATCCTGTAGATATTCGGTTTTATTTTTGTCATAGAAAGCAAACCAGCAGCCAGATCACCTGATCTACGAAACAAGCAACTAAACGCAGAACAACAGCACTGCAAAGAGAAGTAAAAGTTGACTCCAGCTCTATACCAACCCGTCTAGCCAGCGTGGTATAGTAGACCAAAATCACCTTTCTAAAGAGAGGCCATAGGTCCAGCAGTGGAATATTAACGGCTGTTGCTGACGATTTTATGTTTTTCTATCCTTCCACATAATTAATAACCATTTCCTACCCTACACTTTTCATTTACCTTTCTTTTTAATTGACTAATCATTTTCCCATCAAAGTGCTCAGTTGACGGTTAAAAGGTAGCTTCCTATTGCGTAAGTTTAACAAAAATTATGGTATCCAATATCCGCGCGTTTAATACGCCTCTACTTATCCCTTCACAGATATAGGCGTGAGTATATATATCATGAATAATGAATGAAGAGAATCTATTCTTATAGTAATAAATTAGAAAATGGACAAAATTGCCGCCAAAGACTGACAATTACTAAATTAACTTAAGTCCAACTTGACACATTGTTTATTAACGGGCTCTCTGACTTTAATTTGACTCAGTAAAAAATCTTTTGACGATAAAATCGTGGTCTGTGACTCACTAACGAAGTGACCAGCTCGACAAACATTCAAAGATCGTAAAAACTTTGATGGAGAATGCCCGCTATGCCATAATCACACTTCACACAACCTCTCGCAGAGATTAAGTTATTCTATAAAGATTCAAATCTGTATGAGAAATAGTCTCTTTAAACATGGAGTTTTGACTACTGGTACTGTTTAATTATGTATTGCGGTATTTTTTATTTTTCTTTAAGACAACTCCCGCGTTAGGACTATATCCTGTGTCGCAGGGGACTTTACAAACATACATGAAACGGACACAAAGAACACCCAGATTCAGAACAACAATTTGTGGATCACACAAAGTGTCGTCCCATGTGGGGTTTGAGCCCACAACGATC